GTTGGCATGGGTCCGAGTTGGTATGGGTCCGAGTTGGTTTGGGTCCGAGTTGACTCGAAACCATCATTACAATAGGCCCTCCAGCTCTAGCCCCACTAGTGTGGCACGAACTCTAACTCCTTAGCCACACATCCGTATACGCAATTTCGTGTCGGCGTATTGAACATTTTCAGTGCACCCACTTATCATCGTGGGTGCAATTTCATTTGCACACGGACATGATCCTTGACCTTTCCGCTTTCTAAAAGCCATTTATTGACAGATTTCACTCACGTTATTCAGGTATTTTCCAGTCTTTTTGCCTTTATCCATTCAATCTAACAGGCTAGCTCTCCCGGTCGCCATCTTTAAAATAAGGTCCTTGAAATTTACGTCACTTGACCCCTCATCGTCTCGATGACTGGTCAATGTCAGAACATATGTAATACACGGACTGAGCGATGAGATACTACATGTACCAATGGGCTCTTCCAAAGCTTTGGCAGAAGTTCAGATATCTTGACATGGAACAGCCGTCGAGACGATGAGGGGTCAAGTGAAGTATTGCTCAACGACCTTATTTTAAAGATGGTGACTGAGAGAGTGAGCCTTTTAGATTGAATGCATAAAGGCAAAAAGACTGGAAAATACCTGAATAACGTGAGTGAAATAATTCAGTAAATGGTTTTTAGAAATCGGAAAGGTCAAGAATCATGTCCGTGTGCAAAAAAAATTGCGCCCACGATGATAAGTGGGTGCGCCAAAAATATTCAGTACGCCGACACGAAATTGCGTATACGGATGTGTGGCTAAGGATGAAGCGGGTGTGAGAGTCCGTGCCACACTAGTGGGGCTACTCCAGCTCCAGTGTTGTTAATGTACATGTAGAGGGTAATGTACATGTATATGTATGTACATGTACATGTATTTAACCAAATGAGTTTTGATTTTTTCCACGAAAAGGTTTGGCATTAATCATGTTGATATGAGAGGAAAGTCACTGAGAGTGAAAGTCAAAAGTGCACAATGTTAGGGGACTCTACTAACTATACATGTACATGTACATTGTAAATGTACGTCATCTGATCATGTGCACGTATGCAGAATCTGCATTGCAGATCTGTAGGAAGGACACTCAATCTTGGTTACTCCCGCATGCTGAGCAATGGATCGATCAACTGATTAATATTACAATGTACATGTATATATGTACATCATGTATGTGTACACTGTACGTCATGTGGGCATAGAATTGAAAGTTTGTGGGAAAGAGGTCGAGGCTAGCCTGTAACTGTTATTCATTGAATAAGTTGACAACTTACAACCATTCCTATTGTCTGAATAGGCCTAGGCTGTTTTCTAACTTTCTTTCGAGTAAAATGCTTTGAACAATATTTACATGTATATTATATTGTATATTTACATGTACCGGTATATTTTAAGACATGTTGTTGTTTTGATGATTATTGTAGTTAAATATTTTGATTTTGACAAGTGACTTTTTCTGCTAATGCTGGACTGACACTAATGTTGTTTCCATACATATACAATACTTCACAGGCCAAAGTACTCAAAGGATGAAGAAGATGTGAAGGGGACTGTCATGACTTGATCAGCTACTAGAACATGTTGTGACCAACACTAAAGAATCCAGCATGAAGCGTTTCATCTGTACAGACAGTCTATTGATGCTACCAATTTCTGGAGCTTTCCTGACATTGTTAGGAATCCTTCTCATTATTCTGTACATCGTTGCTAGGGGACTAACTGCTTCCCTGTACTATGTGGAGGGTGTTCTTCCTACCTACGTTGTTGCAATTTTGGTTAGTTTCACTCTTTGTGATACCTGATTTTGTAAGCTTTATAAAGGTACATATACGTGTATGCATACATGTAAGTGTTCTGTATATATGTACTGTACATACTCTACATTTTTTGACATTAGGCAAGTTAACTCATCTCAAAAACTTATGTCGTCTGATACACAGGATAAGATGTTGCAAAAGTTGTTAAAATTGGAATTCACCATATTCATTCCTTTCTGAACAGTTCAAGTCCATACATGTACATGTACCTTTTGAAGAGTGGCCAACGTCAGGAAATCTTGTCTCTCTTTGCGGTTATAAACACTAACAGTGCATGTGCAAGCTCTGCACATCAGTTGTGATTAAAAAGAACTACATGTATATTACTCAGTAGTACATGTACCAATACATCACTCCATTTCTATTTACACCAGTACAGGTATATTTATGCCATGACTAAATGAAAGAAGTCTGTCTACACCTGTAAATTGAGAATTAAGGTTATTGAGGAAATACCTTCCGGTATGCAAATAATGCAGGTCAATCCACCGTTTACATTTTACATTACTACTTTACATGAACATGTACATGTATACCGCAGTACAGCATTCATGGCAGTAACCCATCATTTCCTTGAAAAATTGTCATCTTGTCAATCACTGCCTACAGTAGATCAATGCTGACAGTTTATGATGAAATTTTTTTCTATGCAGCTGATTGTTTCTGGTGCTGCAATGATAATTCTTCTCAAGAAGAAGCCCAATTTTCTGGTAAGTATACATGTACCACCTTGATCCTCATTACTTTCTTGGTGATAAAGCCTATTCTACATTTGTCACAAACCCAGACTTAATTATGCATTGGGTGATATTCAAACCTGAATCAACAGGAAAAAATGGCAAAGTAAAGTAAAGAAAGAAGTGACTCTGCTGTATGTGTATGGATTACTCATGACAGCAGAGAGAGGGCAAGTTTATACTCATGCATATACCGGTACTGTATGCTGTTTGCACCTGTGTTTTGCATCCGTAACCTACCTGTAAATACAACAACTGTAGGCTCTACGATGATGAAGTGCCTCCCAAACAACAACAGTTGAAATGTTTTGGACAACGTTGTGCTACGTTCCCCATCAGGCATAATATACATGTGTACCAAGACTTTAACAAAGGGGAGGTCAGTGTCCCTTGTGAATGTGTGGCAGTAGTGTCTGGCCAATTATGCCTTAACCCTCAAAGAGCCAGGCTATTTTGGCCCATTTCACAGCAGGTTGGGGGTGGCTTATGCACCTCCCCCCCCCCAGAACTTGGCTATGCCATTCTCCATTCTCCATGCCACTTGGCATGCATGTAAAGACAACCAATATCATTGGAAATGTGAAATATGAACTCATTCAGACATGCCAGTATGGTTTCGTTTTTGCAAGAATTTTATGTGTATAAAGATTGGTGTCAAAATGACAAGGAGCTACTCTAAAATCTGTTTAAGGCTCAGCCCCCCCCCCAATTGCTTTGTGGCAATATCGTAAAACATGTCAAATGCATTTGTTGCTGTGTAAACTTCGGCTAAGTCGGCACTCTCAGGACTCTAGAAATTATGACGACTTACACGAATGTCAACTTGTGTTGTACATGTAAGTCGTCATTTTGCTGACTTACAAGTACACATGAATTGCCAATGTACATTATGATTCCTTGCACTAATTCCATGGCTTTGATTTATACTGGTTTATTTTTACCTCCATGGTCGTTTTCAGCAAATTCGTTCTTGAATATTATGCTCACGGGCTACAAATTCGATAATTGATCTGGTGCCCCTAAGGACAAAGCAAGGATGGCAAGCCACTTGCATATCACATCACAACTCGACAGTGCAGTACGTATATACGTGATACAGTTATGGTACAGAAAACATACGCTCATCCACGCCAGTGCATTGGTTAAGTTCGTTTAATGTAAACTGGATACCAGACCCGATGATTCTGACTACCCGACGAATCATTATCAAGGGTCATCAGGAAATCTTTGGGCAGGGAACCAGACTATGCTCAATAAAGCGACGCCCAAAATGGACAGAGAGCGAGCGTGTAGCACTAGAGGGGTTACTGATATTGATGTACTTATGATGGCCAATCAACCACAGCCTGTTCTGCTAATAAACAGTCATCAGTCAAGCAGTGTGGGACTTGTCACTTGATACTTCTTGGCAACCGCGTCGAAGGAAACTGGTGCCAAAGCACATTCTTTTAAATGCCCACTTACTCAAAGAAATTTTTTTGGTTTTGTGGAAAAAGGACCGAGAAAAACATGCCGACTTATACGAAATGACGACTTATAAATGAAATTTTCAATGGAAATGCATTACAGACTATCGAGACTTTTGTCAACAGGCCGACTTAGACGATATGACGAGTTACGCGATGCCTACTTAGAGTTTTCTGTATCAAGCATTGCTTATGTTTTTCTCTTGACAGATCTACTTGGCTGTAGCATTCAGCTGTGTAGCATTCTGTCTGTGTACCCTTCAGGCTGTCTCCGTTGGTATTGTGTCCATACCATTTCTTGGTAGCTTCAGTGCATGTGTTTACCACAACTCTCTATCTGAATGTCAGTGTTACATATTGTCAGCTAAGGAGAACAACACAGGGATTATAGTGCCTGGAGGTGAGTTTTGAGAATAGAAAATATTGATATTGTATTTCATTTGCATACGTCGCTCAGTGATAAAGTCATTCGCCATCTTCATTTTGTGAGGTGTCTCTAAATGCAAACCTGAAAAAAAAAGTATGAATAAGGAGTGTCAAAGTTTTCAGTGAATGTTTAAAATTTTCCAGTATACTTGTATGTGCTATTTAATTTTTCTCCATACATGTGAAAAACAATTATCAAAATTTTTGGAATGGGCCATAAATATGAAGAAAATATGTTTTTCTTTTATAGAGATAATATAGAGCACAGTATCATTTATCAGTAATAACATGAATAAGGGGGAGAGAGTTGCATACATGTTCATTATGTGTACCTTTCCCTACTGAAAATGTCCAATTCATTTACCTATTGAGACCAATTCACTTACCCATTGGATCCAATTCACATACCAATTGGATCCAATTCACTTACCAATTTAATAACCAATTCCCAAACCAATTGCTTTTGCTTGAAATTGGAATCCATTTGGGCTCAATTGGTTTGAAAAGAAAATTCGGACCTTTTTTCAGTTGGACTTTTTCAAACCAATTGCCAATTCACAATCCAATTGTAACCAACCGAAGAACCAATTGAAACCATTTCAATACCAATTCAAAAAAATTGAGTCCCATTTGAAAAATCCATTTGATGGGGAAACAAGCTGAAAGCAAACCAATTGGAACTGGTTGCGTCCAATTTGAAAACAAACAGAGAGAAAGCATACGAATTGGAACCATTTGATTCCCATTTAAAATTCCAGTTGATTGGGAAAAATAAACAGCCCAAAAAATGCCAAAAAATTAAAACCAATTGCATCCAATTTGAAATCTGCAATTGATGGGGGAAAACAAATAGGACAGAGAACATACCAACTGAAACCAATTGAGCACCAATTGATTGCCAAGTGGACCCAATTCATTCCAATTAAATCCAAGTAAAAATCAATTAGTTTGAATGCACGTATATGTAGGCCATTTTTAGTAGGGTTGGGAAACCTGTAAACAGATTGAAAAATACATGTACATGTATATTCTTTTTACAGCTGACACAGAAAAAGTGACCTTCCAAGCTGTACGAAGTTGTGCCGTCATTGAACATAACATGATTGACTGCCTGTACATTTTGTGTATTATCTACGGCTTTGCTGGTATAGCTAGCTTGGTTACTGGCTCACTGTCATTCATGCTGCTATGTTCACAGAGGCGGGCTACCAAAGAAATGGTTAGTTTTCATTGTTTAGTTATTGACCTGTTGAAAATGGTTCATTACTTTTGCTGAAATACATGTAGCACTTGCCAGTCTTACATGCATTTATATCATATGGAAGAGCATAGGGGATACACAAAAACACATGCATCATAAGCTAGTGGTTTTAACTGCTTTCTATTGATGAACACTCTTTATCTATTTCATGTCATTAGCATGCTCTTCAAGAGGCTGAACTTTCCAGAAATAGAGGAACCATGTCCTTGACTGGTATGTAATTATAAAAAATCATTTCAATCTGTGTATTGTAACTACAATGTACTTGTCAGTGATGGAATAAATAAGCTTATGTGAGTTACAGTCTTGTGCAGGAACTTGTGTGGTAGTTGTTACTGTAGCAAAACTTCACTAAACATTCCCAATGGAGCCCTTTATTGGTTGAAAGCATTGTGTTGTGTTTTGTATAGAGCAACTGTCCCCAAACAGTGGCTCTGTAGTGTGTACAATCGTTATCGTATCACATATCGTCAGCAGTGGATGGGGACTACTGCAAATGAACAGTGATAGCATTCACTTTACTTCATTTTATTTTATTTCCATATAATATAAAGAGAAAACAATGGTACATATTTAGTTGATGGATGGAGACCCCTAAGAAGCATTTCTTGTCAAGTGGAGGCTCCAGTGACACTTGTGACAACACTACAGAACCTACAGACAAACATTGTTACCAATTTACTAGAAAAAAACTAAGTACAAACAAAGTAAATGATATTCAAACGGTAACATGTACATGTAGGCTGTAACCCTGTGACATTTAACATAATTGTTAGATACACATAGCTATTTCATAATTTACCCATAAACATTGTGGAACTGTGGTTTTTTTTCAATGAGCTACACAGCGTTGCTGTAATTGCTAGATTTTCTTCCTTTACCTGTACATGTCCTGGTACTTATGTCATTTAGATGTAATCAATTACATTTTGGCAAGTTCTAGTTGAGTATCAATACACGTATGAGTATGAATATTAGTATTGGGCATTTATTTTGTTATTAGCATTTTGTGTTACTGTCATTTGCTGTGCCAAACAAGTCTCTGAAAGCTGGTAACCTTAAGTTTCCACCACAAATTAGAGAAATGTCACTCGGCATGTCCAGTAAAACAAAGGGAACGGACATGTGGAAGATTCTCCAATTATTTGCATCTGCACTGAATCACAAAGGCCTGGACAGGAAACTAACAACCTTGTGTTGCAGCTGGTATTAGGCAGACTCATAGTAGTACAGCCTCATTTACATGTCAATTGGAATTGATTCTGAGTGGAATTTTGATTCCAGGATGGAATCAGAAGCAATTCCAAAAATGTTGGATTTGCCTAACACTAGTGAGCATGTTCCGTTATTAGGTCACTAAATCCACAAACTAAATCCATAAGGAGGTTATGATACTCATCTTTGGCTACGTGTACATCTCTCGGTTTTCTTGATATTTCACACCCATTGCTTTGACATTGCTCAAAAATAAGTCGGACTACCAACCATTATG